TGGTATTTGACAGGGGTGAATTGGAGTCTCTTATAGCAATTGACTGACAGCAAGCGTCGGGAAAATAAAAAGTCAATTCTGGGATTCGAACCCACCGTCTAACGATCTGAAAACCATGACCTTAACCATTCGGCCATTTCAAAGAAGTTGCTTTTCGCTGTTTATATTAAGGAGATAACAAAACCATTCACCTTTCTGTACAAAATGTTTCCTTGTAAAGACTGCGTGACTAAAACGCTACAATGGTGCATCACGTAGCAAAAATACACATACACAGAAACGATGGTCGTCCACATTAAATGTTCTCCCTGACAGCTTCTCCTCAGTATTCTTGAATGCGCGCATTAATATGGGCAAGTCCCGGACCACGTCTGGCCCTTCTACACGCACGAACTCTTTCATAAAATTATGTTAATGACACGCCAATTTTTCTTTTTTTTTTGGGGGGGGCGTTTTCTTTCGTTTTCTTTACTTGCGCAAAATGACAGCCGAAGGTTGAATCAGGACCCCAATAATTCTACTAAATAACATGTTATGTGATGTGGTGGATCTGATCTGTGGTGTAGTTCTTCAGACACATTGCCCTGCCCTGTGAATGGTGCCTCTTTACAATAAAGTATTTCTCTATAAAGATGTAGTTGAAAAGTGACCACTTTTCCTGTCATGTTATAATTCATTTTTAGTAATATGGACCTTAAGTTGTCGTATTTTCAGTTGTGCGAAATGTCAATGTGAATACATCAGTGCGCTTCGTCCTATCAATACTATCTTGTATTGAGGCTCCCGGAGTAGCATCACAGTTGTGCCCAGGAATATGGAAATACTCGTAGCATGAACACAAATAAGGCAATGAAACACCCTTTGAAAATCGTGAAACAAAGTAGACAGTAAGGTTAAGTTAGACAGAAAGGTGCTCTTTGAAAGTCTACATTAAAAGAAATTGATTGTAGCTATCCTTTAAATAAGAAGTTGCAAATTCACATGATCAAAATGTAACTTGATGCAAGATAGGTTGTCACTGAACATTCAATTGTTTACATCATATGGTCGCGTCGTCGTGTGTGCCATGTCACACGTCAGTCTAAGTACAAGCGTGTAAGAACCCGCTTGTAACCACCTGTCTTTCTTTTCGTCGATTGGGGGTGCACTTCTGCTCGGGGCAGATAGAGCTCTCCATTCGTGTCACTGATGCTGAGTTGAAAATGGATTCCATCGTAATTCTAATAAGTCATTTTCTCCCTTTTTCAACAAAATGTCACGATAGCCTGATGGCAGGATAATATCTCAATTACCACTTTTTTCTTGCCGTGATCTTACCAGGGTGTCTCTTTATTTTTCCGCAACAACATGCTGTGGCCAAATATCCTTGAAACACCCACCGTTAATACCTTGGCAATATCAGTCCGAAACGTACCCCAAATGGCTATGATATACCATTTTGCGCGATGAGTGATGGCAATGATATTCAGAGATAAGCCCGGTGTCCTTGTCGCGGGCGTTGTGTCTTATCGTTACCGTTTGGCGAGGTCACAGCAATTATTCATATGAAGCTTGTGTCACCATTGCAGAAGCATTGCTGATTATAATTATTATCATTTTTTTCCCCCGGCGGCTGTGCACAGGTTACACAGTTTCGTCAGGCTGGGGCATTTTACACCATGCCGCTTGAGCACCAGTTTAAAAATAGCGCCAGTGAAAACTTGCCACCCGATGCGGTCCCTGAAGGCGCGAAAGAGTTTAGTGTATGGGCCAACCTGCTTGACTAATCCGTCTACATAGTTTTTTCCTGGCCTGCATCGATGGTATACCGTTTTTAGGCTCAGTCGGAGTGGCACGCTGTGCTAGGTATGGTTCCCGACCCAGGATCTCCATGTAAAACGATAGCAAGCAGAAATAATAATAATACACCGCCAATGCGTCTTTTTACGCTTTTTAATCACATTTTGTTCAATATCTACTCGCTGGTTATCCTTAGTAGTACTAGTTACTAACAGTTAGACAACGTGTCGATTTCATTTTTGATTCTGAATATTTTTTAATATATATTTTTTATTCTGAAACAAATCCAGCCCGTCCGTTCACCCGTGCTTCCAAGTCTTCAGAAAATAGGGAATGTTTACAATTTCGAATTTTTTTAATCAACCAACAAACAGAGCTCAGTGAATGTTGGCCATCTAGAGAAAAACTGTAACAAAACCTTGAAGAAAAGTAGCCGCTCTGGTCAATGTACACGTGTAAAAAAAAAGGAACAAGGTACTGAAGACAGGAGGCACAAAAGGCATGGCCGTCACTTTTTTTTCCGAAGCTGTCTCGATTCTCGGTAGTAAAATCATGCCGAAGGGGACGAATCCTCCAGATTGCATTCCAAAGATGCTGACCTGACCTGACTTGCTTGCAGTTGTGGAAAGATTCATGAACATGATGTTAAGATGCCGCCACATTTGAGTACATTTCGAGCCCCCCATTTAGATGCAGTTGTTTGTGCATAAAGGCGTCAATGAGAGGTAATAAATACTGGGAAGGAATGCCATGACTGATGCCAATAACCGGGGGGTAGAAGGGGAGACAGATGACTCTGGTGTAACATTCTCCTGGTTGTATGCTGAGGACATTCTATATTCCAATTTATTAGGAACAGATATGGACAGCTTTCAGAATGCACTAACACTGAATCTTTGAACCAGATTCTGCTCTTCAGAATCCAACTCGAGTGACGCGTCGCCTCCCTGGCGAGTGTCTCTGATGCAAGCAGTACACAACTGTTGACTTAATGATGTGTAGCTGTGACAAGTTCATAACTCTGTTTGGTAGGAAGGGGATACTGTCCTGTGAATGAACAAAGAAGTGTAAGGCAGAAATCAACGTTCTCTGTATTTCTTTTTATGACGCCTATTTTTTTTTTATGATGCTGGAACATAAATTAGGGGATTCAAGGTAAGTTACATGGTGGTCCGAGTAAGGGACAAAGCCTGTATTGGTCTGAATTATGTAGACACGGACGTTCCTCGTTGGAGTTATGCTTAATATCCTGTTTTTAATCTACGAATTTCATGGTAGATTTTTACCCTTGGTAAATGCGACTAAGCCCGGAATATCAATGATAACAGCACAAGACGTTCAGATATGTGTATTTTTTGGTTCAGTTATATGCACATCTTTGTCAAATTTTGATAAAGAACTTCGGTGCCAACGTGGTGCACTTTCTCATCTGAGCATATTTTTCAGTATAATTAACCTGTGTCGGCGAAATTTAATTTGATTGCTCTTTATAAATAATGAACGAAATTATTTTTCCTGTTATGTCGAAGCTGTAACATTTAATTACCCTAATCTCGAAAGCCGTATAATCCCTGCTCAAGATTATCGGGGAAAGCCCAGCAGCAACAGGTTTGCTGGACTCGGGGACTTGTGTTGCAATGCAAGCATCACGTGAATCACCCCTTCGTATGGTGTTGTAGGCGTAATACGAAGGGTCGATTAGATTTCCCTGAACGCTACTGCTAGCTAAGCTGAGGCTAATTGCATTTACCGGTACCGTACCAGTGCACGGCACTTGTAAATTGAAGTATTTTGCGCTCTAGGCACGCGCTGCGAATGACATGGTATATGTGCGGCTGTCGAAAAAAAGGATTTAATAGAATCTTTATAAGCTATCAAATATCAATGTACCCTTACTTGCATTGTTCATGTATCCTAACATGACGTGGCCCATTTTGTCTTTGGTGGCTTGTTAGAGCAACATTTTTACCTCCAATTTCGCAATAAGTAAAATTTCATCCAGTTCTCAATATTGCCGTTCATAAATCTGGAATTAACGTGCCCGCTTCTAAGCCTACTGAAATTCTCTTTTGGCCCGATTTTCAGATTTTGTTTCCGAAGTACACATTAGACTCTTGAAATGTGCCCCCAACTGGGAAAATAATCTCCTTACGAACAAAGGGTCTTGGTAACAGTTCATAAGGAATGTCGAGGGAAACGTCAAAGTGCGTCACGTTAGGAGATGCCACCAAATAAAAAATGAAGATTGACAGGCAACCACATGCAAATTTGCATCTGAGAAGGAGGCTCCTGATTCAAACGGTGGTCTAACTTGTCAGCAGTCATGGGCCTCTCTTTGGGAAGGGACTTTGGCTACTAATGAAACTCATCACTTCTTCTTGTGCTGAGGCTGAACCAGCTAAACAAGTAAAGAGAGTTGTTTTTGTAATTTCAAGTTTGAACGTCACCGCATGTTTGTCCTTTTCCTTAATTGCACACATGACATTTATCTGTCCGTCTTGAAATTTAGACTAATTAGGTTAAGTTGTGTTCAAATCATCACTTTGACCTGGTTTTTGGATCTGTTGGTGGTTGTTTCCGGCCTTGTTTTTTTCTGCACAGGATGATGCCAATTAAACTTTGTAGATTGATTTTAAATGGAGGATAATCGAATTAACATGCCACCCATTATATCCTTTCAGCATTACAACCGTGAGGGCGTTCCAACTTCTTGTCATGTCACAATATGCATCTTAAGACGATGGAGTGAGAGAAAAATGAGAAAAGTTGGGTCATTTGCAAATTGCACATGTGCTGTAGATTCTTACGAAGCTGTTTTAGGGACGTGGTTGAAAAATTCTTTCCTCCATGAGCTAACCCGTATACCTACGACTTATAAGTTGCTTGTACGACTCCAATCGTATTTACGAAAAATATTTCCAACCTGCGACGTATCTCCTTTGTTAGATAATATGATACGCGCGACGTAGTCGTACGTACGACATAATTTGTCCTATGTACGAATTAGCTTTAAGGAGGAGATATTTTTTACCATGTTCCTAATACAGGTTGGAAGATTCTTTACCTTACTCATAAAAAAAATGTTCCCGTTTGTTCTGAGCTGTGTGCTTCTGGGCGGCTCAACACTTATTCCCAAGTTTTTGTTTCAAAGTACAAAGACATTTCTTCGCTCTTTTTTCACACATTCATTCAGATCCAAGGACGTGTGTCAACGACCCTTGCTACCCCAGTGTGACCTGCACGGACCGGAACATCAACCCAAACAGCATCGAGTACGTCCCGGACGGCTCGGGATTGATTACGCTGTTCAACTGTGGTCCTTGCCCCGAAGGGTTTATCGGAGACGGTGTCACGTGTCAAAGTAAATTCAAGACCAATGCCTGTAGCCTATGCTGAATTTATTATTGTTTGTGTTATGTTGTTGCCGCGGTTGAGTTGACTCGTCATTTGGGGGACCCGTCATTGTTGCTGAGGTTTATTACGATTTGGGTTTGTTGTCGTCGCAAGCACCTCTTTATTAGCAAACGAAGCAACGTTGAACTTCCAAGACGACAGTGCTTACTTATAAAAGTCGTGTTTGAAAAAAGAGCGCCTAAAAGAGAACTAGGAAAGTCACTCCTACTAACGAAGAGTTCATTACACTCATTCAAGGCTTGTTTGTAAACAGCGCCTCGTCTCAAGCCCAGTTTGGGGATTGCCCTGCAGGTCAGGCCGTCTCCCTGTTAATACTTGATGCAGTGGTCTTTCTTTCTGTCGTCCTGTTGCCTGTCTATCAGTGTGGTGTCATCCTTTTTTTTGGCCCGTCATAGCGCTGGCGCTCTGCGCTCACAAATTGTTTGTGTTGGAGAATGCAAAAAGTTCCCCCTTTCCTAATACAGGTACAGTACATACACTTTCTTTTAATCTTGGTAACAAAATATTTATGCAGGAATGTGACCGTTAAACATCGTTAGTTTTATTTTGGAAAAAACCAAAACACATCTGTTTTGATGAGACCAAGATACCACTCAAGCAGTCATCGGTTATCCTGGAATTTACCTTTCGCACTCAAGTTCATTGGTGTCGGACAATGATTGGGTATCCACCTACCACCCTGTCAGCACTCTGTACTTTCTAACCTAATGCGAGTGCGTTTGTATCTTTCTTATCTTCATTTCAGTCTGTCAGTCGGTCGATTGGTTGGTCAGAGGGTCAGTAAGTGTTTTTGCCTGTTCTCCGTTGAAAGGGGCTGTGCATTAAAAACATTTTTGTTGGAATCCTTGAAATATAGCTTATCGCCCTTTTTATTTCATTTTTCCCTTGCTTGCAGTTTAGCGAAGGTATATCAGAGCATTTTGGCTTTTATACCAAGTATCTAAATGCTGGTACAGTACTTGAGGCGAAAGCCAACGCAAAGTGATTTTGTGAGTGTCACATCAAAGGGTTGCGTAGGGAATTCCCAGCAACTGAAAAAACAAAATCAACTTGTAACGACAAATTGTTGGCTCCACCTTCGCATTCGCCTGCAGTATCAATCGGCCTTTAAAGTGACACGTAGCGACATAGCTCTCACTCAAATGGCAAGATGCGGCATGAGCAACGCCGAATGTTCTAAGGTGTTGCCAGATTCTTCATACCCTTCTGCGATACGATAGGATTTAATCCCTCATTTGTTTTAGAAACCCTGTGTTGGTTTTTGATGTTCTCATTTTTTCCGAAGGAAGTAAAGAAACATTGTAGAAAGAACGAAAGATGTTAAACGAGTACATATCGTAAGAAATTTCGGACGAGATAACAGTTTTTGAAACCTGTAGAAGACATCTGACGGTAGTTTTTTTTTTTGTTGTTTTGTTTTTTTGGCTTTGTCCACAGAATTACCACCACAAGTTATTGTGCTGACAACAAGTGCACCAACTCCTCAAGAGAAGATTTTGTCTACAACGCAGCCTACAACGAAAATTATGCTTACCACCACCACACCGACAACAGTGCCACCAACAACAAGTTTAGCGACTACAGCACCGCCAACCACAACGGTAACAACGACGGCGCCACCTACGACCACAGTTACAACAACATTGCCGCCCACGACCACGGTTACAACAGCTCCACCGACCACATCAACAGCGCCACCAACTACTGTCACCACCACAAATCCTCCCACAACAACTACGAAACCTACAACAACAAAGAAGACAACTTCTGGACGTGAGGACTTGCCTCAAAGAGAGCAGCCGCCCGTCAGCGTCTCCACAACCGCCCGCATGAAGAATCCCAAAACAACCAAGCCGACCCCGGCTATCACGACGCAACTCACAACCACTGCAACAACCACAGTCACAACAACGCCTCCCACCACACCTCCCACCACGCCTCCTACCACGACTCCCCAAACGACAACGCCTCCTACAACCACTCCCCCGACAACAACTCAGCCCACAACGACGGTACCAACGACCACGACGGAACCACCGACCACCACGCCCCCACTGCCGGCGGTCTTGATTACTACGGTGGACAAAGACGCCGCCAAGGCCATCTTACCGGAGGTGGGAATCCGGTTAATGATACCCGGAGAAACTGAAAATGCAACTAGGCTACTCGAAAACGGAACCACGGGCGTGGATGGCACGCTGAAGATCATTATCCCAGAGGACACACCTGTTATCATCACTGCCAGACGGGAAGGCTTCCTGGACACCTCCTATGTTTACAGATTCAAACCAGAACAAAGTAAGTACCTTTGGTTAGGACACATACTCCTCTCCTGTCCTAAACATTGCTCTGTATTTACTGGGCTGTGAACTTCCGTATTGTCAGAATTCGTATTGTGGGTGCGTCTGAACCATAGCACTTGCGATGTGTATTGGAATGTAGCACAGCACCCCCAACGCCTTATTATATTATTCAGAAGTTCCTGCTACGCACTAACCCCGATGTTTTCTATGGACGTATTAACGACTGATCACTTGTAAAGAGTGGTAACATTTCCCAAATGCGTCACGTCGTCGGACTTGTTGTACATAAAAACGAAGGAAACCAGACTATTTTTCAATGTGTAGACTAAGTACTGCAGCACCACTTTCAGAATTGTACTGACATCATTCCCTCAAAATATATCTGTAGAAAACATCTTGACGATTGAGATGAGCCAACCGGAAGCGCAGAGGGCGTGGTCATGGAAGTCAGGCTACTACAAGCGATTCACGTATGGCGACCAACATGACGTCGCCAAGCAGTACCGGGTTGAAATAGCGCCAGGTTGGTATTTAACTCCTTTCTGGACCTCAGATCTTTCTTATCAGACTCAACGTGACTCGGTGTTGAGTTATCAATTTAGCCTTAGTCAGATGTTCCCTGAGGGTAGGCTGGATAATAAGTCTTGTTTTTAAACTTTTAGAATAAGACATTTTAGGGGCAAATTCATGTTTCAGCCAAACGGGCGTACCTAGCTTTTCTTTTCGAGGTGCATGTAACTAATGTGAGGAGTCATTGTGGATGCTATCGCTGGCTTGCACGCTGTGCAGGCAGTAGCATACATGTCAGGCCTTCTCTCCTGTCTATCCGACAACGGCTAGGCCTTGGCAGGTGCGCGCAGATTCATAGCGCTGGTGATTGAGATGTTCGCTGTATCACCTGCCAGGCGACTTCTCATGTCTCACCGGGCATAACGTGCAACTTCATTTGCGGCGGGATTGGAAAGGAGGACGGAAAACAGCATCAGCCGTAGGACCGAAGTGTTAAGGGTACATACCGAATGGCTTCGACCTCAGCATGCAGCGAGATTATCCTGTGCTTGTGACCATGATCAAGCCTGTTCGTTTATTGCTTTTCTATGTCGGCCCCAAAACACTGGTTCTGAAAGTGAGAAGGCAGTAACTGCCATTGTTTTGGTCAAATGCGATACGAAGGATTTACGGCTGAAGCCCAGTGTAGATCGCTCGAGAAAAATGCTGCGAAAAGGAAAAGAATCCATCGTCCGCCAATCTCCAAGAACTATCTTTAATTTTATGTAAAGCTCAATTTTGTTCAACGTGGCAAGAGTAAACAGTATTTTTACAGCATTCTTGTGAGCAGAGAAATTAATTCTCAAACGAAATTAAGGAAACCGTACAAATCAAAATGTTGGTCAACATGGAATGAAACAACCAGAACCGTAATGATTCCTTTTGTTTGGGCAATATCTCTGTTTATTTATGGAAACTTGGCCTCCTTAAAGCCACAAACTTTCTCATTTGATTAGAGCGGTTCATATATCGCAAAAGCAAATATGAACGATTGAGTGCTGCAAGTTCTTCAAAGTTGAACACATTCAACCTCAGCCGTGAATGTTGGGATAGGCGAGATTCCCCTCACTTAAGTCTCGTTCCCTTGAAGTACGAACCGGCTCTAAGGCGTCAGAGGCGCCTGACATTTTTCTCACACTCCGCTGTGACTAATGTTGCCAATGTTGGCAGATGGGAAGGAAGAGCGGCCAGCCGGGGCTCAGCAGTATCTGCCTATCTCATTTCTCAGCGTGCCATTAGAGGTTTCCTGAAATAACGGCCGGGGGGTCAGGGATGGTGGGTCTCAAATTCGGCGGTGCCACACCACTTTACGAACTTGGCGATAAGGATCAGTGCGCAAGTGTCAAGGTCATAACGGAACCCGCAGATGTCATCAGCTGCAGTATTCCGCACTAATTCGTTTAGTTGGAAGTCTGAAGACTCCCCTGGAGAGTCCTATGGTATGAATCCTTGCACATGACTTTCAGCTTCTCTTTTTCTTGTACTACGAGGCTGGACGATGGTGTCTGTGTTCAGTTGCTCGTTTTCCGGAACGGTCCCATTGTGTTTAGGGAAACTTCAGTCGACGCTGCGTTAGCGCACACAGCGACCTGTTGGGAGGTATAGATAAGTGACCAGAGATGTTTCCAATTACTATCAATCAAGGCAAAAGAAATCTTCTTGCACGCATCCCATATCCGCTTTTAATCCTATTTTCGATTGGAACTTTAAGTGAAAGGATATATCTCTTTGGTCCAATGCGGTGTTTACCTCTGGTTTTATATTAATTGTCTCCATATAGAAGCATGTTGTGTACTGCCTTACACTCCTATATTTTACTTCTACGTATATTATAGTCATAAATTGTGTTTTCTTGTCTTAGCTTTCATCCCTTCCCCCGTCTCTCTTTGTCTCCTCACAGGTGCCCTTGATGTTATCGAGGGGGCTGAGGTCACAATGCGATTTTCACCTGTGGACATGGCGGACAAGGAACGAGCTGCCCACGTGCCCGAACTGATCGCTGCGGTGCGCAACAAAAACGGAGGTAAAATATTCAAATGTGTGCACTTCTCTGAAAACAGCTGACGCGTATTAACTAAACGGAACATCTCATGCTCTTGGTGAGAATTAATGGAATAAATATGTGCTTGGCCGGTCAGACCGACTCAGGAGAATGGACGCGACTTATGCCCAAGCTGCACAAGTGTTAGTTTAAGACCGACCAAGTACATATTTATTCCCATTCTTAGATACCATTTTAGTCAGTGACTCAAAGAAATGAATGTATATGATACATTTCGAAGGATTTTGTTCAAGAATTTTTCTTTCATTTCCCCGACTGCCCCCGACCATATAATGGTATATTCCTTATGCAAGTAGTCCATAAGAATCTCTATATATGGACTTTGCGCGCGCGTGGCGAGCCGCGTGCAGACAGACTATTGATCAATTGGAATCGATTACACTGTGTAGTATCCAGGTGCCAGCGCGTGGTTTACGCAGCGGGCATTATCAAATGTTAATACACGGTCACATGGCACGTTGTTGAATAGGGATATTGTCTGAGGTACTTGTGAATAATGCATGGTTTAATAAACACACCTAGTGCATTATTGTGTAGTGCCGATGTGGTACCTTTTCGCCCATCAGTACAAGATCTCAGTATTCAGAGAATGGGAGGCCTTATATGTTTTATTTAGTGGTTAGAGTAGAATATCATGTCAAGTCCAATACGTTTGTGCTGGTAATCCTCAACTCTTTTGTGCCTTTTTAAACTTGAAGGGTATGACATGGAGGGCTTAGAGGTGTACGCCATGGTTGAAGCGTCGATCGTTGAGACTTACACCAATAATCCGGTAGGCGTTCTTTTGCCAGTCATGATTGAGATCCCTCTGCCGGAAGATTTGACTGACGCACGGCACGGACAGCAGATCGACGCCTGGTACTTCAACGCAGAAACAGGTACTCAGAAGTGTGTCGACAGTCAAAGGTCTCTGCTGTCTCAGTCTAACCGTATAAGAATTTTATAAATCGGCATCTTGAAATTTTACGGAGAACAGATGTGGTGCCATGCAGGTCCCTTGTGGTTAAAATAAGTCGGCATGGCAGAGCAGATGAGATCGATAAATGGTCTTACTGTTGTCCTACCTTTCCATGCAGGAAGGAACAATGGACTGCTTTGTAGCAAGAGATAGCATTCATATCAGCTTGTACAAATTAAGCAGGTTTTCCCCCAATTTTCTCGGTGCCTATCGAGTTACAGGTCAGAGACCTTTAGGGTTGACGCGAATGGCCAACTCACTCACTCAAAGCTGCCAGGCGCCCTCCTTGCTGGAAAAAAAGTCTGATCGAGAGATCCTCCAGAACGGAATGTTGTCAGGATGCTGCAAACTGTCCCCGGTGATCCCTGAGGTTTGGCTTCACCGTTGACCTCGAGAGGAAGCCTTGGCTACGTTCAGATCATTCCCACTGTGGGTTATCAGGCTATATTTAATCCATGACTACACCTCTGTTCATTTTGCTGAGAGATTCCATGACATATCAATTCCCTATTTGATTTTGCTCGAAGTGACGATCCCACATCAGACCCACATGAGTCGTCACAAATTACCGCCTGTATAATTAACCATTTTGACAGTTCCCCTCCAACGTGTTTCCTCGACATTTTCTTCTCAATCTTACTTCTCTCTTGATCTCGTACCTTTCTCAGGTGTGTGGATGAAGGCAGGCAAGGGACAGGTGGAGTATTACCGGGGAGGGGTGATGATCTGGCGGTACGGGGCGCGCCACTTCACCTGGTGGGCCGTTGGCCGGACCTTCCCGGAGACCAACTGTGTGGTTGTCAGCACCTGCTCCGACTCGGCTTGCAACGAGCCTATCCCCGATGTTCCAGTCAGGTAAAGGAGAAAAAAACAACAAAACCAAGCGAACAATCGAACCTGCGCTTGATCACATTAATGCCTCCATTATTCTGCTACTTTTCATTCCTTTCAAACTCCAGTACATGCACCACACGAAGGCGAAACTTAATAGGTCAAGCATTTTGTTGGGACAAATATATCTTAAATGCCTTTCTGATATAGCCAAGAGAACAAGAAGCAATATCACGAAACGGATTGAATTTTTTGAGATGCTCGCAATAACGACCCTCGAGACATTGAAGAGCTTCAAGAACTGCTGTTGGGCTGTGCATGACTGTGGTCAGGTGTGCTGACCCCAAACCTTGTAGGATTACACACAGGCTACCTCTTGAGTTCCTGCCTAGATATCTGGGCGCCCCATCTAGGACTATTTTCTGCCCACCCTGCCGGGAGAAGTTTCGATTCCCAGTTTTGGGCCGGGGCACACCTTCCGTTTACCCGTTGCCAATAGTGACCATATCCCAGAGGAACGCTCCAGTTCCACCGTGACAAGGCGGTTAATTACTACCAGAGTCGTGCCATGCGACACGTATAACCTGTAGTTGTCAGACTGGCGTGTGCTACAGGAAAAGAAAGATTTAGACGATTACCCAAGTAATGTATTTGATCCCACCAAGATCGAGTTTTTCAAGTATTCTATCAATCAATCAACTGGCTTATGGCCAAAAGCTCATGTCATTTGTATTGCTTCTCTACCAATCACTCCATTAATTCCACGGTCTGTGACGCTAACTGCAGGTGATCTAATTGAAAACTGAAAAACTGAAGTAGTTCTCCCAAATGGCTGTGGGATTTAGTTCGTAGTTGCTCAATATATCTAGGTAAGATGTTAATATAGCTCTTACTCATTCCAGCAGTTTCTTGGGAGTGAGGATTTCTTTGCATATTAAGAAAGTTCCCCATTCAAGCCTGTAACCGTTATTCCAACAGGGCTGCATTTGATAGACTATACGCTGTCATGGATGTCTTTTTACGCTATTCATGTGAGAGAAACCATTCATCTGGCAGTCTATAGTCCTTTCCCATGCAAGCTTCTGTCACTGTTGATGCGTTTTAAGATATTGACGTTTGGAGACTTGGATTAAATCGTAAACTCAAAGAAAATTGCACGGACTTTTGAAGGTTATTTGACAGACAGAGAGATTGCCTCTTAACAGAAGCATTCTGAAGCGTGCCGAGACTTAAACGCTCAGTGTGATTCATTCTGCTGTCAAATATTTTCCAGAAAGTAATTATTCTCTGATTTGTTGCCAATCTCTCCAGGCTAACGGGGGTGGATTTCTTCTTCACCTCCTCGAAAGTCACGGACGAGAATGGCCGGACCTGCTTCCACTTCAAGCGGCAAGGCCAGGTCCGGATTGACTCGCCCTGCATCGAGCGAGTCAAGTACTCCCAGGGCCGGGGCAAACCGTCCATGTGCCCAGCAGACATGAGCATTGAGGTCATCCAAACGCAAGCCAGTAACACCATTGATAGCTGCGCATCGGTGCGACTTGTAACACACCGTAAGCTGAAGCTCTTTACAATGTCCTTCAATATGTGATGTGGGGAAAAATACATTTCATAATTATGTGCTCTGCAGAAAATATTGACACTTCGTACATAAAGGGTAAATGAACTGTGACATGCATATGGAGGAAAGTAAGCCATCATTGGAAAACTATACTGACATTTCCTCTGGACATCTGCCTTGCATCTATTTGTATTTAGAAGATCATCTGCAATAAGATGAGGTGAAAAAAGAGGCTATACGGTGTGTCTGTATGCCGCAGCAGGGAGGTCCAACAGCGAGATTGTGATTTTGTCTTTGACTTGCCCAGTAGAGTGGAGTTTTCAGTGATCTGAAAATACGTTGAATGATTTGGTTTTCCAGGGGGCGCCAAAACCACTTGTGAGGACCCAGGGTCTCCACTGGGTGCCATCGTGTTGGGCAGCGACTACACCTACGGCGGTCAGGTCACCTACTACTGCGGCCCGTCGTCCTACATGGTCGGCGCCCCGCGGCGGGTCTGCCTAGACTGCGGCCAGTGGGGTGGCTCCAACCCCACTTGCGAGTTCCTCAACGTCGGGGAGAGGCTCAACTACGAGTACCCATCCGAGAAGCCGTTCTCCCAGGCCGCCCAGGCCGCCACCACCACCGAGGTGACCACCAAAACTGTCCAGCCAAACCGAGGTAGGACCAGGAAGAGAAAGAGGAGGAGACGACTGAGAACCAGGAGATCAGTGACGCGTTCACTGTGAGGTTAAATGGTTTTGTAGATTCTAGTATAACGTAGACTCAGTCGTCAAGGCACTCTTCCTCACCATTGGAATGTTCAGAAAGCTGATTTAGGGTGGTTTCCAATACTTGGCTTTGTTTCGTCTCTTTGTTTGCCTGTTTGTAAATCCACACACTTTGAAATTGCTAGCTCAATGGGTAGTTGCCACTGGAACATCAGACCGTATGTCGTAGACCCAACAACGAAAGTACTGGAGTATCACGAAGCCTTAGCCGGAACGAAGCTATGTACTGGAGAAAAAAACTCTCCAGTTTTGATTTATTTGGCTACAGCGCCCTCTGAGCGAAGTGTCAAGAAAGACACAAACCAGAAACAGTCAGTCTTTGCGAAGTAAAGTTTGGGCCAGTGAGAATGAGTTACGTGGAGCTCTTATAGGGGTGAAGAGAAAATGACGCTTGGTCTTGGCGACTGAGTCTTCACTAATAGATTTCATTGTGGTAAGAGTGAGATGCGAAACTGCCATCATTCGAAGCTGATATGCAGATGAGAGACTACGAGATTTCACCACATTGCCAAGACACCAACTGAAGTGTATATACAATCATGAAGCAACTACTACCTGTCTTACCTGCTTCAGAATGGAATATCTACTTTTTTTCTAATTTGAATAGAAGAAAGAGCGAAAATATCAAGGTGACAACAAGGCACATTTGGACTTAGAGGTGACTGAAAATAATACGTATATCCTGTTCGAAGCCCTATGATTTGGCGTTGAACTCCAGTGTGCTGTGCGTCCAACTCAATTTGACGGGGTTTTTGACGTTACCTGTTGGCATTGGTTGTGGTATATGTAAGTCCAACAATTTTGAAGTACATGTACGGTCGTTGTACATTAGTTTATATAATATTGTCATCAATATCATATACTTTAGCTTCCTCCCTAACAACGCGTCATATCTCATACATTTTCGATAATTCAAGCCCCTTAGAGTGTTTTTAATGGATTGGGCGCTTCACTTCTGTGATACCTTTATCTGTTCTCTCTAATTTATAACAGAGAATGGCAATTCATATTTTCTCTGCACAATTCTCTTAGTCTTGAGCTTATTTAATTTTTTGTGATGCGGCTATATTTATGATATTTTAAAGATTTAGGAGCTATATAAAGCAATTGCTCTCTTAGTTTAATGACAAACTTTCACTGCCCATTTGACAGGTTCTAAAGACTGTCAACTTTTTTCAATAATTTGTTTTGCTTTTTTTATAAGTCCTATATTTTCCTCGTAAATGTGGCATTTCGTTCCATTTGTGGTCTTATTTTGCTAGTTTAGTAAATTTTGTTTTATGTTACACTGTTATAAATATAATGTGTAAATTATGCCGTTTCTTGTCATCGTAACATGTTAAACTGTTTTGATGTAATGCTGCTTATTTATTTAACTGTTACTCATAATGACAACTGTTATCCTGTTTTGCTTGTTGCTTTCTGATGCACTTTATTATTTCCTAACCTGGAGTCCCAAACTCCTGCAAGATGCCTTCAAAGATACGAAACTAACCTGTGGCATGTGAATAACGCTCTAAGTACCGCTCAAGTACCATCTTACATCCTTCCCTACACCTGCCATCAATGTCCTGTCTTTAGACGGGTTTTCTTTGTTTTTGGTCTTCTTGGCGTAATCCCCGTCGTAGCTGTTCATTCTGTGAGCCAGGCCCTCTATCAACACTAGCGGCAAACTAGTACATTGCATATACGCGCGGGCTGTTATCATTCATTCATCGTTTTGAGTAAAGCTGTGCGTGGTTAGTATGTTGATAACTGAACTATTACATTTGAATCTATCAAAATACCATAGCTTGCCCTTACACTCTTTTTATTTAGCCCAATCATGCTAAAGGAGCAGCACTGCTTGGCGAAGATCCGTGTTGAAGGAACCCAGAGCAATATTAACAATGTATTTCCTTTTATCCGTTTCCTAGAAGTGTTGTTCAAAAACAAATGCTATAAGCAGACAATGTGCATTTTCCCCTCTCACACTCACAAGTAGACTACACGTTTTCATTTTCCTCGCAAAAGTCATTTAAAACTCGATTAATAGGCCTACACTGTACAAAAAAATGGTCAAACAGTGTTGAGCATTTTTATTTGCCCAACCTTGGTTAAATTTACCTCATTTGTTGGTTAACTTCCATCACTGTTTGTCAAACATTGACCAACGATTTGGAAGAATTTGCCAAAGGTTGGGAGGTTCTTAATTACCAACAATGCGCAAAATATCGACCCTAAAATGACCAACCTTTGTACAGTGTACGTTTGCTGTTAATGGAGTTTCTGTCTAGCACAACATTGCAGGTTCAGAGTGCCGGTGGATTTAGATTTAGATTGGTGTGTTTAATAAAAAGAGGAACCTGTTTGGACCCACATTTGATGCTATATTTGGGAAAATTTGTCCTCGGGTGGGCACTCGTCTGTCAGCATTCTGTAGATTAATAATTTGATGTGCTTGTCAGAATCAGGTTGAATGTGTTGAATGTTGAATTTCAATGGTGCACTCTGAAATTTCATGTGGAATATAGCCTACCGTATTTGATTAGTAATTATTTTATAATTGTCTCTATGTATGATCATTGTTAAATGACTAAAAAAAATCTTTCGCCGTATATTACCTCAAATATAAGCTTTAATATGATTATGAATTTAACCCCTTTTTAAGACTGTTGGACGAAAAGATTTTTCTGAATAGTCAAGTTTTTAGACTTCCTGTAATCATTGTAAGTCTTTTAACTCCGTATTGTAGTTTTATCTTTTATGCCTGTTTTGCAATTATATCATCACTGTCACGAAATTTTAGAATAATCAATGAAACACTAAGAAAAGAAAAACTGGAATGATAAGATGAAAGTCTTAGATATGACCATATCAGGATAACAGGGAAGCTTGTTAAATGTGTAGCTGTTTTGTTCTTTATGCATCAAATGCATTTTAAATGTTACATTGAATTGAGACACTTGTAAAAACTGTAGATATCTTAAAGGAATATATGTTTATTATTAAGCACCATTTAATTGTTTCTGGTTTCCTAGTTTATGCGAGCTATGACAATGGCTCCATCATTATCGTTTTAATAGCTTAATATATCAGGATATTCCCACAAGATATGTTTGCTAATATCAAGATGTCTTTATATGTCACTGTAAAGAAGGAAGTGTTCTAAGATTATTTTCTCAGTAAAAAGTACCCGTAAAACACAGGGAATCTCCGTTACTGAAAACTTTGTGATTTCAGATAAGTCATTATGTTTTGTTTTACAAGATAACATCACAAATAAGCTATGCAGATGCACGGTTTTCCCTGTATCACTGTGATTAAGACTTGATCTAAATTTGCATGCTGACCCAGATTGCGAATATTTCACTTTCATCAAGCAGTTTGGCCACTCTACACGATTTTATGTTTCTTCACTGACGAACAAGGCGCACATCTTCCCAATTCGTAAACCTCACTTTGTTATAAAAACTGACCTGATATTGTTTTCACAAAAAAATGAAAACAAATAGTGTACATTACAACCTAGTGTACTTCAAAATAAGTGGACAAATAAACTTATATAAATCTTTTCAAATGTCAGATGAAATTTGCCTTTTTGTGTCTTGCTTTCCATACTGGTCATGTATAGAGCTGAGACCCAGAAATATTCAAATTATGCTGAGGACCTGTAAATCTTTCCTTTTGGTATATTTTAACTTCGGAAATAAACAGTTGTGAGGCGGAGGTTTTCTTCCACCCCTACACGTGTTTCAGCGTTTCCCCTTTTTTGTCACCAGTGACTTTGGTGCCCGATGGCGAATAGCGTTCAAAGGCACGTTTATTGATATACATGTATTGACATTTTGTTTCAGACAGCAGCCATCGTGGCGTTCTCCCTATTACTAGAAGCCATCCTGATCTTAATGTCGCTTGTGAACACTTTTCTCGTCTGTTGCCACATTAATATTGACTGTCTGCTTTGCGTACAAGCACGTGTCCATTCCGTCTGATAGGAAAACTGGTGCTGCATGAGACATAATACCTTGTTGGATTCTTGCTGTAAAGAATGGACAAGAATTCCAGGGCGCCAAGGCATACAAGAGAATGACAAGTGTGTGCTGCTTGCAACACAGAGCTTGGTTTCTTGAATTTCCTAACTATTAATTTTGTTGCCCAAATTGAAATTGAGCACAACATTATAGCAAGGGTATGCCCTAGCCGCAGGGTGCTATAACTGCAGAAATAAAACCAGTTGCAGATGTTTGACCCAAGGCGCTTTACGTCCGTTTCCATAGCTTCGTAATGATGAATAATAAGACGCACTCCCCCCTTAACAAAGTCACCCTAACACGCCCTTCTCAAACAGGAAAACTTCATTATTAGCAACAGAGGGCGCTATAGCCAGGAAAGTTTTCTTTCGCTTTTCCTTCTGTCTTCCTTCTTTTCTTTCTTTGTTTATTTATTCATTTATTTATTCATATTTTCATTACATCGTTCTCAACGGAAACTACCAGCTGTAAACTGAAAACTCTTCACTGAAATCCTAGACACCAAAAAAACCAAGGTCAGACTTTAATGTTATTTTGGATCAACGTAGGGACAGGCGTCACACGCTGGGTTTTGTAAGTCCATGGTGGCTCAGCGCCGTAAACCTGAACATGCTCAGTAAAGTAGTCAATTCATACAAATTATCTCGAGAGGGCGCTCTGTGATTTTGGTAGCTAGGCAAAAGTAGAGCTAAAGCGTACAGGCAATATCTTTGAATGTGTAGGGATTCTCCATGTTTTCGGTACCGGTTTTGTCTTTTAGCTGCCGACAGCAACGCAGCTCGTGACTTAAGTTACAGACAAATACAGATGATTTGGACAAGGCAGATGTTTCAACACCCGTTTTGGATGTGTGAATCTGGTACCAGCTGGCGGTATGGCGGCCGTGGACCGTGCACGTGCACCCCAGCACCAAGGCTCTAATACTAGGTCTATCCCCACGGCCAGAAGCCTGTGCTGCCATACTCTTAGGATGTGAGGGAAGACAGGTAATGTTTAATAGTTCCGTGATCCATTAATAATTAGGGGAACCAAGAGCCGAATGAAGTGTAGGCTAGATCGCTGTGAAATGCTACAGTGCATTCCTATGTCGTACATAGTGTATCCGCTGCCGTTGTTCTGCACTGCACGTCTATGCACAAAGTCACACAGTAACTTCCCATTGGGGAGTCCATTGTTATAGAGTCCACTTTTTACACTACACAGAGACCTAGTCTGAAAGAATTGGCCAAGGATAGAATGTCTTTATTGTCCCTGACGACGAATTCCCCGCGCTCATTGCATTTTGTTGGCACGTTTGATAACAGTGCACCACTGTTTTTCAAGCCGGAGAAACACTGCACTCCTATACCATTTACAGTCAGTAAGTATATACGCCCTGTCTACAGTTAACAACAAGTCAAAAAGGATAGTCCTCAATTAGTTTCAGTTCTAACCTTATGGGTTACATTTCATAGCTGGAAGCAGTGACGCCGTATTAGGCCTACTACAAATCGGTAAACCTTGCTATAGACGGGATCTGGATTATGACCCGTTCTTTCGTTCAAATGCAGCTTTTTTTCAGTCAGTGCTCCATAAACACATTGCTTCATGCATTCGCCCTTTCTAACACCCTGCAAGAGCGGGGGGGGCGGGTGAAATGGCTAAACCGTGTGGAAATATTAAGGAAAGGTCAATCGAGATCAAGCTAGTTCAAACATGTTCAGCGCGTGTTCGGCCGCGCGGATTGGGCCGATTTTGGACGCTTGCATCGATGTTCTCGAATGACCCACGACACACTTCATTTAAAGAATGCAACCTTGATTCGCCGAACTGCCCCATTACATGATCCGTGCGCTGTTATTCATGCTTAGAAATGTTGACAGATTTGTCAAGATAGACTAAATTTGATTCAGCTTCTTGACAGCGACCTAGACCGTTATGTCGTTTGGTCATACTTGCCTGAGCGATGCATTGGCGTCATCCACCGGCCTATACGTTGGGCGAACATAATCCCATGAAGAAGCAATCACATGTGTGAAAGATTGGTGTTTTATTTAAAGGATGACAGAAGTTTCTTTGGGCTTAGTCAAGGACGGATTATATAAAGCGCAATTGATCATGACGGCACTGTTCAGATAAGATTGTAATTTATTAATCATACTTGCCTTTTTTCTGGTATAATTATTTACAAGTAATGTGATATGGAAGGAAATAACGTAACTTCAATGCAAGGTGCCCGATTGTCAAAAGGACATTAGTGAACATATCCTACTTCTGTACATTCCCATACAAACAAGACGGATTAATTTCAGTTTTATTTAATTCTTTCCATCAAATTTTTCACCAGCGGTACTTCGATGCATCGCACTTGAAATAAATTTTAATGGTAGCTACAAAGCCGATAATCATGGTGGAGTAGATGGGGAAATGAGAAGATTAATGTAGCTGTGGGAAATCACAGAAAGTTAATTTAGAGGAAGGTCAGGTCTCAGGATAGTGACGTCTGTATCCAAAGCTCACGCAGGATAAAAATAGACCTATACGCTCTTCCCCCAACCTGTCCGTATTATCGGATAAATTCCCCACAAATGCCCAAGAGCTAGCAACGTGGAGCTCAAGCGAAAGTGGAGATTCGCAGATCTGACGAACCGGTGAATCGACCGTTCTGGTGATTTTCAGATTTTATCTCACGAACTGACGAATAGGTTTGATAGTTGTATTCAAACAAAGTATTGCCCCTAGAGCCAAAAATACACATTAGGAAATGATTTCAAAGACCACCTTTGTATCTTTTATACACAGAGATGAAAAGAGGGTTGAATTAGAAATAGAAAACGACTTCGCAATAACTGCTTCACGGAAAACGTGTTTTTCTCGAAAACGGTGATATATCATATTCGTTGGTTCGTAAGATCACCGTACTGCGCACGTTAGACACGGACCAGGCGCTTCAGGGAGCAAGCAGTTATTGTTATGCTCATTGGAAGTGGTATGTAGCAAGGGAGAAATATCCAGATTTGTCCACCTGCAGACATGTTTCTTTCAAAAAAATGTCCTTAGACTCACTTCATGTGCATCTATTCAGTCTTCTTCAATGAATGAAAACTGTTGGAAATCCTTCTGGAGTTAATAATTACTAATATTTTCAAACATGTCCTCGATAAGTGAAGGCACTGTTGCTGTGATATGAATTACGGAGGACACATGTCCTCGATAAGTGAAGGCACTGTTGCTGTGATATGAATTACGGAGGACACATGTCCTCGATAAGTGAAGGCACTGTTGCTGTGATATGAATTACGGAGGACACATGTCCTCGATAAGTGAAGGCACTGTTGCTGTGATTTGAATTACAGAGGACACATGTCCTCGAGTAGTGAAGGCACTGTTGCTGTGATATGAATTACGGAGGACACATGTCCTCGATAAGTGAAGGCACTGTTGCTGTGATATGAATTACGGAGGACACATGTCCTCGATAAGTGAAGGCACTGTTGCTGTGATATGAATTACAGAGGACACATGTCCTCGAGTAGTGAAGGCACTGTTGCTGTGATATAAATTACGGAGGACACTGTTCAGCTTTCATGTTTCTATATTAAATTGTAGCAACCCAACATTTTCTGTATTTAATCGTTTCCGAGAAGATATTGATCGCTAGCTTATTGCTGTGTACATGCCAAAGAAATGAATATTTAACAAAGCCAAATATAAGACATTCTAGAAGGTTTTTTGTGCACAAATTAATGCAACACCGATGTTCAATGCCTTGGTGTACATCACAGTTTTGCTCCTGAATATGCAAATTTGTATTAGCTTAAACATCAATATAATAAAAATCCCTAGCACGGGGTTACGTGATACGGGCACTGAAGCTATGGTCCCTCAGGCAGATGTATGGCGTCAAATACTACCGCTATTTCCAAAGCGAAATACGGTTGTGCGCGTGCGCGACATTTTCTTCGTGGAGCCTGCCCTTTGTTGATGGAATGGAAGACTAAAATGTTTCGAGGGGGTATCAAAAATGCATAAAAACAAGAGAACGGACATGAATAATCAGAGCTACTTCTCTGTTTACGTTCGATGTAACAGTGGTACTTAAACGGTTGTCGATTTTACCATGTTAACATGTCCTGTTGTGATAGTGGCCTACCGAAGAGGTGGGGGATATTTTTTATTTCATGCGCTTTTTTTATCGATTTCAAGGTGATTTTCCTGGGCTTCAAACTGATAGAAAATAAGTTTTCCTGAGGAAATGTCCAGTACGGTAAGGGTAAAAAAGGCCCTTCGGCTCTTCATCACCATTGAGGGTGTGTTGACAGACCTAAAATATTTTCTCGCCCTGTGCAATGCAAATCAGGCACATGCTACGCCACGACCACACGTGCTACACGCTGTGGCGATTGACATTGCAAATTATTGCGCTACTGCTATTGCATATTCATGTCAGTCAAAAGTAAACAAATATTGATTAAACACCCTATCATAACAGTATGCTTACAGTTAAGGAAAAGAATCCAGCACAGAAATGTTAAAGTGAACGAAATGCTCGTAAAAAGTTTCTTTATTGACTATGTATGGATAAATATATCTTTATAAATAAATAATATGTGCACTTAAAAATGTTGCTTAACTTAATATATCTTTTCATAGTTTATTTCAGTAATTCAATTCATTGGGGAATAGAAACGAAGTCCTGTAATTAACCAAAATCTTTCTGTAATGTTGGGTAATTTAGATTTTGTTTTCCTCGTATAATGTGTTAATCACTCTATGATTGATGCTGGACTGTTTTTTAAAGAGTTTTCTTTGCTTTCGTTGAAGGAGATATTGCATAAGGTCTGCGGTGCGGAGCTGTGTTCCATTGCCTTATATTATTTGAGATGAGAACGTCACTGAACAGGGAACTGTAATTAAATCATTGAAGGGGGCTCGGCGCCGCTAGCCAGGAACAACAGAGCGGGCAATCCATTCACTTGCCCGTTATCCAAGCCGTTCCGTATCGATACTAATCTAATGAGTAGTCGTGCTTGTCATATCCCTGCAGTCAAATTCAAGCTAATATCAGCAAAACGCTAACTTGAGAAAACTTGCTATCTGCATTTACCAAGGGGCTGGACCAAACCCGCGTAATAGAGAGTGTAAAACGTCAGAGATGTGCCACTCTTCTTCGCCACAAGTATTGCATTTCGTTCGATATAAAAACACATGACTAAGAATTTAAAAAATTAGAGTCTTGCTCCGTTTGATACAAAATTGATGGCGTGTTGCCGTACAGATTGTAAATTAAATTAATTGCTTTAGCTTGGAGTTTGACCATTGGGCATCGACATGTCACGACTCTCTCCTTTCAATCTGACCCCATCACACGCACACAGGTGGATCCGGATCGCCTCTTCTTTCAGATTCTGGAACAGCGCAGGAGTGTTTCACATTTGCCCGTGGTCGAGCTAAAATTAACCAAACAAATAGCACCTACAAACCTTTTTTCAATCGTAGGGCATGTTTTCAACGGTCTCTTCCTAGAACATAGCCCTATGTTGACAAGAATTGATTAGCTTTTCTTCAATTGAATTAAAATTACAAAAAGAAATTACCAACAAAGACGTGGGAACGATCGGCACCATGCAATAATGCGTACGAATTGTCGATATGTTTCAGGTGTAAATAAAGACAGACGAAGTCGAGGATGGTAATCACAAGAATTACCTCGCACATAGCTTACGGCGAATTTAGCGTACATCGTAACACAATGCTCTTTTTGTTCCCCTATTCATATTCCCTAGTAACTCTCCTGCATGTAGGTAGGAATTGATTTTTTTCCTGTAGTTTTTGTTATAGCGTTAGGTTTTCAATAATTTAATTTGAACATCCACTTACACTCCGAGACAAAAAGTGATGTGCCCCTCGTGACCGATTTCCCCTTATTTTCTCTACAGCTTATATTTAGCCTTCCCCGCAGGGCGTCGTGATTTGAATTAATGATGGCCAATATCAGAGCGCCAGTGCATCTCGTCAAAGCGGCGGCCACAACCACGTCCACGGGATCCCGTTGTCTTTCACGGAAAAAACACCGATCAACGATAAATGTTCGCCACCCCCACTAATATGCAGCAGCAAGGGGCCCAGCAAGTCATTGGTCTTAACCATCGTCCATGCAACGCCCCTTGGAGCTTGCTGGATATACGAGAACGGTGACTGCTCTTGCCCGGCAAGCAAGACACTGTTTGGATGGAAGGCAATGCGCGAAAGCGCGAAGGACTCCACCAGCCGCGCCTTCATTTTGACCGTCGTACCAGTTCGCCATGGTCGCTCTGATGCAGGCGAGCATCCACAAACAGCACATGTTGGAACAGAATTCTAAACGAAACGACCCTGGGTGTTTGACTTTTCTGTGCAGTTCTACCAGATTTCCGTCTTCTGATCTTTCTAATTGGAGTGCTCTCCGTTGTGAAAACGAGCGACGCTGTGATAAAGGCTTCCAGCGATTTTTTCAGTCGAGTTTTACGAAGGAAAACATTTAACATAAATCGATTGCCAAGACGCCACCATCAGTTGTGGTTCTCTTTAAACAAACATGACAGCGTCAAGGGTCTTTCTACAGTAATTGAAGGTATGTTCAACTTTGATCTTTCACCTGTTTGTCTCCCCAGGTTTGTCGTTCATTTTCTCCAGCACACTGGTGCCCTTTGGCTCCTCTGTACCACTCACCCACCAACACGGCACATTTCATAATTCAGGAGTTGGTAAACAACAGTGACACGTGTTAGTATTCTAAACACATCACGTTAGACCTAACAACACTCTCAGTAACACTCTTACAGCAGGGAATCGTCAGTACTGTTTGAAAGTATACTTTAACGTTTCGAACCCTGAATTATTCTGATGTTAAATATTGATTGCTCGTAAACGTGACTGGTTGATAACATTTTTCACAATATTAAATTTTCGTAGCGTTTTTAAAAACAGGTTTGAATTTCTCCTTGTTAATGGGTCGGTTTCATTGATGATATTTTGATATTGAAAGGTGGGAAAAATCGGAAAATTCCTATACTGGGGTTGCCTGCTGTTAAATATACTCCTCGTTTTGTCTTTTGTTTTCAAAAGGTTCAAAGAAAAGATGTGTGATTTTCTGCTACTTGGTGTGCAATTCATATGCAGGATAATCAGATTTCGGAGTTTGTTGGTAAATTATTTTGACTAGAGATTCGATCGAGGTCCGATTATAGTGCGGGCAAATTATTCCTAGCGTTTGCCGGACTCTTATTTCAAATTGATCGTCATGCTGGATATTATGCTACGTGTATTGCCTCTTTTCCTGCTTCGGCCAGTGGGATGGTTTCAAGCAAAGCCGTTACAGAAACCAGATGCATCGTCACCGACGGTTCATCTTGCCTGGGGGTTCGGCGTCTCTCGTGCGTCCATGCGAATGGCTGCACCAATACACAATTTGACATGTACCAGGCCCAACATGTACGAAAAAGGACACTTCACCGCCTAGGAATGAAAGCTGTTGATTTGGCCATTGTGCTATGCCGGCTTTTCATGTTAACGTAAGCCAGACTTAATGAACTGACACGTCACATGAAGAAAAAAAAATAAGAGAGCGTTCGGCTGCTTGAAATTTCAATGGGTGATTTCGAAGAATTTAATCCGAGGCGTAAAACCCGATACCTACCACATACGCCATGGAATACGAGCGGCAGTCCAAGCCAAGTTTAATCAAAATTTTAGCATGCAAACGTCTTGAGCACTCATTGCTGCTCCAGAGGGACGTCGACAGCGCTTTTCGATAAGCGTTACGAAATTAGTTCGTATGAAAAATGTCTCGGGTGACATTCCTTTCCATGGATGTACAACTCTGACTTCGTGATTTCATTTTTGAGGAATGAAAATGTGTCGCGGGGATGTGAGGACTTTGACGAAACAGGGGAATTGAAACCGCACCGCAGTGAAAACACGACAGGCACTCGTCGATGGCCTTGTGTAAACTGTTCCCCATGTTCTTGTCAGTCATACATCAGGGTGCATTAGCCACTATATGCAGCTCGACCTTTTCCACGATTTTATGACATTCTGCATAGAAGATCCCCCATTTTTTTCCCTGTGAATATTACATATGAACTAACGTGTGCGTTATGAGAAACGTGTTTATGACACTTTTTAAAACCAATATAGCAAAATGCCTGCAAGGTGGCAGTGTCTGTTTCCAGGTTTTTTCAGCATTTCTCCCATTGGAGTGGTCAAAAGCATTGACAGCATATTCAAAGTGTAATCTGAATGTATCGGAACACTTTTCCCTCTGGATATAACTCGGGGGCCTTTGCAATTCTCACGCGCGTGCAGTCTTGAGTTGTGTTCACACTTAGCATATGATATGACAACAACAAGCGAGCGCAATGTACTTTGATGCTCAGTATCAAGATGTACCGTTTTCCCACAAGAACTATCATCGCTTCATTCCTTATCGGCCAGTCACAAGGCTTAGTTGGAGACATCATATGACTAAGTGTACTAAAGCATGGACGTGTATTTCGAAATCATCCCCTGAGTTCCGAACCCTTAGCAGGGTAAGTGAGAAGTTTGACGTGCACGATTTGGGACTATTAGGATAAATAAAGTAATAATATCGTAAGTTCTTGTACTTTAAAAATGTCTCAAAATTCCATACATGACCACTGAGTAAGAAAAGCTCATGTCGGGTGTTTTCTTACCAAGTGTTATTTGCTGGCAATAAACCAGCACCAAACTAAGCCATTCTCATTGCATAATTGGATCTGTAAACAAATAAGCTATATATTTTATGCATGAACCTGTGGGGGAACGTGCCAGTCAAACAGAAACCTTTTAAGTATCTGCTCCGTCACAGACATTCAAGGAACGTATTGGAAACGTGTGTTAGCTTCATTGTGCCCTTAGATCTTCAGAAACAGTTGTGCTCTGCCTGTCCCCCAGCGCAGAGATTCACTTTTTTTTCAAATGTCAAAGGACACGTTTCAAATGTTTTTAACTATGTGTAATTTATTAACGCTGACAACTGCATCCGCCTGTGAATGTGTCGGCTTGTGAGCACCGAGTTAACAATCGAGGTTAAGCATCGGCGCAGTACGACGACAGGCCTCACGAACGCGCCTGCGCCTTCGATTAAGGCAAGTTAGTGCTGTTGAATTGGTCGGTTGGCGCATATGAATTTAGTTTCACTACATATTAGCCTATTTCGCACGCCGAAATACCAATACAGAACTAAACTTCCTGTGTTGCGCTCATCAAAGATGTAACTCTGCGAACTTTTTGTCGAGTGCCCGATCAGATGTTTTACACCTCCGCTCCTAGTGGAGGTTGCATTTTTTGCAGGGTTCATGAATCATGGATTTTTTTGGAATAACAAAATGCCACTGATTCCCTTTCGACAGAAATGATAAAATAGCACGGTTGTTGACTAGTGTGCCGGTTGAACCATGCGCGGGAAAATTTATTTGATTTTTTCCCGGAGTGTGGGATGCTAATGTTTATGTAAGCTTCTCAGGCTCCTGCGTTAAATTACCGCTGCGTTAAGTACAGGCAATCAAGTTTCTCGACTCGTTTAAAGGATCAATGCAAGGAATATTTTGTGGATCGTTAAACTCTTCTGTAATGTATGAGACCTGGCTATCTTTGTGGAGTGAAGTGTGCAAAAAGTGCTCTTTCTCTAAACTTTAGAAATTGTCCAAGGCGTTTCCGACAAGTGAGGGCACTGTTGATGAAAAGACCTTGCTCATTTTCCTTGTTTTTGTTGTTCACACTTTGATCCCCAGGAATTGCTTGTTTGAAAGTATTTCTGAGAAGGTCTGATTGTTGTATAATTACACGAGAACAAATTAACAAAGAAATCGAAATTTACGACAGCACGATTTGAAAACATCCACCAGTTGTTTGCACAAATCAAAACAACTTGGAGGTTCAGTGCCTGAAATGACGTCACAGTTTTGCTCATGAATATGCAAATTGCATTGATATAAAAACCAAAAAGGCTCCAAAATATAGAATAAAAAATAATAAACAAAAATTAGAATAAGTTTAATTGAAATACTACGGTAAAATTTCAAGGGTTTTAGTAAAAAAAAATGGTATTCCATGGTCCCTGCAATACTTAGCTTGGTCCCTCCAGTAGGCTAAGTGTTGCTTGCTTCGTTTCATTGAAGCTGAAATTTCTGTGTTTAAATGGTTTGGATTCAGCTTTAACATGAATGTTGACTGTCAGTGCATCATCCAAAGACCACGGCTAGGTCATCTGAGCGTGCTTCTACGGAAACGTTATGACAGCCACTGAAAAACTGCATTAGCCAGTGTTTATGCAATCCATAGTGTCCTCAGAAGGACTTGTAAAGGGGTGTGATACTTTTCCAGTGAGATTCTTGGGGCTCGAGATGTTATCAGGTCTAATAGTCATGGGTTTGTGATGGCTGCAGGTGGTAAATCGTCCCCAGGGAGGACTCGGGAAGTTCGCTCTCATCATGCCCGTCTGCTTTAGAGAGAGAAAAAAAGAGGAAAGCAAACATCCACGATAACACTCTTAGGCGGGATTATGAAGCCGCATCATCTGTCCATATCAACAGCTGCCCGGCAATGTACAGCCTTGGGTTGGGATGTTTGGTCAAGTTTGAGGTACATGTAAGGTACCTATCAGATTCTGGACTGTTGCAAATTGATTTGTTTTTTCGAGACTACATTGCGTCCGGAGGCCTGAACCTCGTAGCGTACGGTAAGTCAGTCACCCTCATCGACTTGGCAATGATCTATTGCAATGATCTATTGCATGTGATGTTAAGCCACCACTCTGTATCTACAGCATCAAGGAGTACCGTACATTCCCAACTCTTGATGACGACAGAAAATCCAACTAGTGCATGCCTTTATACCTTTGCAAGTGCGATGAATGACCTCCAGGCTCGACACTACCAAACTCTAAAGCAGAGGAATTCCATTCTAAAGATGCATAAGATTATACTCTGAGAGATGATAGAACACTAATGATCATCACGACCACTAAACATTGTTATAGTGACACCCATGTATTCTAACTGTAAAAAAATACTTTCTTAGTAATTAAGAATCTGCACTTTTTTATGTCTTGCCCGCGCCAGGTAGAATTCTGTGTCCGCCATACTTAACCCTAATAGTCCTCAATCCTTCACCTGTTGCAGGACTGAGGACTATTAGGGTTAACGTCGTTGTCAATACACCCATTTGACGCCACTTTTCAGCACTTATGATTTTTATTGTATATACTCTCGGTAAAAGGTATCGGAATTATCCGGTTCCAGTCGCCCTTTAGAGTATCGTGTCTTCGCCGTTAGAGCTTGCTTTTTGCCTCATGAATATCTTATAATGTCGTGCGTGAATTTTATGCTACCCTTGCGTGTCAGCGAATCGGAGTCATTTATGAAACGGCATAAACGATGCTTGTCTACCGGTCGGTGTCAGTTGGCCCTGGGCTTCATGTTACGGGATAACCTAACGGAACATTTACCCTACAAGATGTCGACTTGCGAATTAACGTTACGTGTCAAGTAGGAGCTGCAGAGATGATCATGTAACGCAAACACATTCGAAGCGTTAACAGCTATTGCATAAAAATTACATTAATGCTATGGAGTATTCTGATGTCACTCTTGTTTTATGTGGAGTGGTCTTCTGTCTTTGTTTTATAGACTAATCCGATAAGACGCCCTAACTGCGGTGGCACCGCACTCACGCACATTCTTCAGCTTGACGCGCGCGTGCATTTGGCAAATCACGACACCCTATTGGTCGAGGAGGCGTGTAACGAGCGCGTATCCTGTCCACGAGCGTTGTGCCACCACAGTAATGGCTTCTAAATGGAGTCAGAAGGACGGCAATTGATCATGCATTGATCAATTGACGCAAAGGATAGGTAGGACAACGGGAAGACTCACTTGATTTTGATATCCTCAGTATACCAACTGTATCATAGAGTAGCGAGGATGCTCTCGCTTTCAGCAAGCGTCCATTGCAACTCGTTTTGGCTACGGGCAGTGGTCTTCCAGTTGGTTGCAAAAGGGTTACTGCAGGATTCTAAAATTTTGTTTTCCTTTCTTCAGAATGTGGCATAGGACAGCGAAGGAGGGTGTTTACTTGGCAAGGAGCGACCATTGACCATCCGGAAGGGTAAGGAGATCACATCTTTTATTAAAGCATGCTTGTTTTCCCCAAGGGAAGGTCATCTGCCCTACTAATATTTCGGCTGATGCGTTCAGCGTTCCACAAACCTCTAATGCCTTAGCCAGATGAATGAAAAAACTTTCCCAGTAGTATTGTGCTGATCCGAGCAGACAGACAAGTCCAAGCAGAAAGAGTCGACGGGAGCAGAGATATTAAAATGAAATGAAGCAGCGAGGTGTGAGGGTCGTCCTGACGGAGGTTGACACCATCATTTGTGTCGGATATAGGAAGCAATCTGCATTGACTGGTATTACGTCGGCAATTGCCATCTGTGTGCCATATGAAATATTAATCGAATATTGCAAAAGCGTGCCGTCTTGCGTTTGTATATGTTGTCATGCATTCTTCGTTTTATGTTGTTGATTTATTTTAAGAAATAAACAAAATTCCCTATAGTACTCGTTATAAAAGTGTCCGGAGTTGTTTTTCTTACAATGTACTGTATGTTTTCAGTGTATATTTCTGGGTATGATAGCTCGCAGCCTTAAAAAAAATCGGTGTCTAATGACCTTCTTTGACACAATGAAAGGGGGCTTTTAATCGAATTTTGAATTGTACATTATACATTCATTTTAGTGCTGCTACCTGCACATGACGTAGTGCATTATGAAATTAAGCTTCCTAAATAATCCTTTGCTTTATGTTGGCCCGTAGAAACGATGTAGTCAGTATTTAAGATTTTACAATACGTTTCGACATGTTATACTGTTTTGAAAGCCCCTTTCTTCAAGAATATCCGCCTCTGGTTGATGGTGCCGCATATCACACTGCGTTTTGCACGAGAGTCATTACTTTCTGAATGACTACGAACTCATTGAAGTCATGATCTCGCCGTCAGTGTTACTTTAGTAGTTCGTGCTTTAAGACAGGTTTTGCCTTTACGGTAAATTTTGCGAATTGCTCGCTGAGATCAAAAGGAACTGTGCCAGCGGGCGGTTTCATTTCTTAAGTTTGCTGACGGGTTTGCACGAATACTTAAACCAACATTGCTTAGATGTTTGTGTCGCTTTATGAAGATGCATAAAGTAGACTCCTCGATGGAATGTCAAGTCAGACAGACCGCGGGAGTTGTTCTTCTATCTGCGATGCATTGACCAACCCTGCTAATAAAGTCATATCGGCCACTGTTCTTTAATCTACCGCCATAGTGGGATATACATCATTCAATACTGGAATGATGCGCCAAAAATATGCCCCGCTTATTAGTGGACTTGGCCTAACAGAAATGAAGTTCACTTTCGTTCTTGTTGAACGAGCCAGCCTTGTATTAAAAAACCGAAGTACGGCACAGATTTTGAATCTCGCATTGCAAATCACCCAGTGTCTGCGAACATTAAAGACGTTCAGTGTTTCTATTTCAGTCCTTGGATTTGGGTTCAGAAATCATGGAGATCTGAAAAACAGATGACTGTCCACATGAACAATGGATCAATTACGTAATTAGTTATACTCTTGTCTTAGACGTTAGGTCATTAAAACCTATTTTTCCTCTTTCAATGACTTCGGAGAACGACATAACGAGTAACCAACGGTTCACTTGGACTGCACGCATCTCCGATGTTGAAAAAGACGTTTCATTTCTTTACTATTTTAATTTGGACAAGAATTTGATGATTTGCTTTCCTTTGCTTTTCTCCGCTCCGATGCTCAGATCTGCTTTGCACCCCAAACTAGCTGCACAAGTGCTGCACGATCAGTGTCCAATGTCCTCGTGCACGCTCCTTCACTAACTCATACCAGTCGTCATGATCGCACAGGGCATGGTGGGAGCCAACATGGTGCAG